AGAAGCTGCCCCAAAAAGCGTAGACGGTCGGCATGTAATAAGTCTTGAGGTGAGGGGACTCCACAAGCACTATAGATTTCGTCGCGGGACCAATGCTGTGAAGAGTCGTGTGGAATCCTGAGCAATTGCCGGTATAGGGCAGTGACCCCTTGTTGGAAAAGGTTCCAGGCCTCCTGGGGGAGATACGGCCATGCGCCGGCACCAGCCAGGAGCGTAGACAGGACGTGAGCTCGGAAGAGCTGGACCCTTCGCTGCAGGGCAATCTGTGGGCACACAAATATTTTCCTGCGACCTTCCCCAAAAGTCGCTCGGGCGAGGGCAAGGCGATTGCGGATCTCACTAAGGAGCGAGCCATTGTGCGTGATAGTGGACCCCAGATGTCGGTAGAAGGGTACAGCGTCCAACTGGACCGCCTTGGTGCCCTCCCGAAGGACATGCAGTTTGCCTTTGCCGGTGCCAAAAATGGAATCCCTGGCCTTTTTGGAGCCTTTGCCCCGAGGCACAAGAATTGCTGCCGACTTTTTGGGGCCTATATTCGGAGTGAGCCCATGGGCCGCGGCCGAGTCAAAGGTTATGCCAGTGACATTCCTGACATCAGGGGCAAGCTGTTCTGCAGTGGCAGAGATCACACATGCCGCATGATCGTCGGCGAAAATGACATCCTTAACCTCAGCAACCTGGCATGTCGGCTGATCGGCCGGCCCAAAAGCATGGAGCTCCCGGCTTCCAGTCCAAGGTACTCGAGGAATCGTGTGCATAGGGTAGTCAGCTCTTCGGTCAAGTACGCGAGAGAAAAGCAGGGCAAAGACTATGTCCGCAAGCGACCCACCCGGCCTAGTTCCACGACGAGTACGGATGAGTGCCCCATCCTCGTGTACATGGAACCATGTGTCTGCGTGCAACTCACGGGCCAATGCCCTGAGAAGTCGGGAGGAGTTCGCCGGTGTAAGAACCGGGTCATTCTCAACATACCGGGCGATCTCTTCAATGTCGCTCTCCGGGAGTTCAAGGGAAGCAACAACCTCTGCGAGGCTCGCAGTTGATAGATCAGCTCCTAGAATGAGCTCACGTACAACTGCGTAGTAGGCTGCTTGGAGGTCAAGGAAGATGAGTGCCGTGGATGCATTCACCGCGCGCCCATATGCCAGGAAACTGCGGCTGATGAAGAAACCAAAAGTATGGGATTTTCCTTGTCGACTTCCCAACTGGATGTCTGGTGCGTGCTTTTCCATGAAGCCTACCGGGAGGGCCCGAGTGGCACGGTGGATGGCCTTGCCAAACACAGATTGCACTAGAATCCCCCTATGGGCCGATGTCGAGGACTTTTCGGCTGCGTTCGGCTTCGGAATATGGAACAGCCTACCCCCTTTAAAGCCTATGGGCTCAGAGCCCTGCGCAAGCACCTTAATGAGGATTGGCCAGAGCACGCCTGCGACGCCTACCGCGTGGGCATGGCAAAGGGCAGGTGGAATGAGGTCAGGGCCGCAGGCCTTATACGGATGAGCACGTCCCAGTGCTCCGACGAGATCCTCAAAAGCCGGCATCTCTTCACACTGCAATGCATCCTGGACTCCGCACTGGCGCTGTCGGCTAATACAGTCGTGGACAAGCTGCTCATGGTTGCAGAGTTCGCCTCCCTCAAGGCGCGCAAAATGATCCCGCCAAACCTGGCGTATCTCTTGCGGCTCCGTACATAGACGGCCTTTGGAGTCGCGGAGCTTGGGTAGCGGAGTGGGTCCCTGTCGTCGGAAACGGCGTGGCCGCAGGAGACGATTAATGGCCTGGTGTATCTCAGCTGGGGGCGATTGGTCCGCCTGTGAGGCAAGACCCGCAAGGAAAACATTCCTGTCCTGCCTACATCCCCGCCTTAAGGCCTTACCAAGGACGCTAATCTGATGGGACAGGCTAGCGACCGTCAGGTACAAACGGCGCAGCCAGGGCCCTGTGTATACCTGGGACCAAACTGCATTGGAACGCCATACACGCCAGGCACACCTCAATCTTGTGTTAACTAAGTTGTGGGCGCATCTCCTAAGCGCTTGGCGTAAGTGCGACAACTGCACATGCAGCTGCATGGTGTCATGCGTGAGGAAGTGTTGTCGCATGCGTCGGCTGCGTAGCGGAAAAGCCGCAACTAGTCGGCTATACACATGCTCTACAACAACCGACGCGTGCTCGTTCACATTGGTGGCCCAGGAGACCCGTGGAACCTGAGCAAGAATTTGATTGATCTTGCTTGCATTGCAAGGGTCGACCAGAGCTTGAGGATCGATTCTTTTGTGCCCTGGCTTAGTGATACCTTTAAGGGCTAGGGTTACGAAAACCCCTGCTGCAAAGTGATCCGGCGCGGCGTGGCCTGCGTGGATCTCAGGGATGACCTCAGCATGGCCTGTGGCATCCCTCCACTCAATAGGAATGGCTACGAAATCGCTGCGGTCAAGCTTCTTGTTGCGCTTCTGAAAGAGAGTGCCGCCAGCTCCCTGCGCAAAAGCAGCAAACGTAGCCGGGCACCACGCGTGGTGTCTACCCAGTAGAGACCGAAAAGCACACCCGGCGTCGTCCTCTTCGTCTGCCTCATGATCGCCAACTGACTGGTCAATAACGGAACCAAGTCTCCCGTTGACATCAAACAGAAATATCCACGGAACTGTGGTCGGGAGACTGGAACATAGATGTGTCAGTTCCTGCCACCACGATCGGCGGTGTGCCTCGGTGTGGCCCTTGTGAGGGCCATGGCCTGCAACTACTCCAAGCTGAAAAGACCCGAAGTCAACCCGAAGGGCAAGGTACGTAGGAGAGGCCGACAATACGGTGGCAGAATGCGTGGGCCACTGGCCTGCAATGCCGATCCAAATCTCAACACCGAAACGCCTACCGTCCAAACAACCCGATGCATATCTTTGGTAATGCCGGGTGCGGAAAGTACCTGCCGGAGTGCGGGCTTCCTGCACCCCCACAACAAAAGCGCCCTTATCGTGAAGGGATTTGTCCAGGAGGGTGATGCGGCCTGTGCTGCCATGCAGTCCGGAGGTATAGCCTTCTGAGCCCGCATCGGTCGGGGCCAGAGACAGAGCGTTGAAAGTCACAAAGAGACACTGGCACTCCGAGGCCTGGGCTCTCGATGACGACTCACAGGGAAAAGATCGGGTAAAAGGCGCGATGATGGAAGAGGCCGACAAAGTGGGGGGTGACTCAAACTCGGCCCACGACATCACATCCTCATATAAAGTAGGGGCCTGAAGGGGCCCACGATGCATCCATGCTAGATGTGGGAGCCACTGGAAGGGTTGGCTTCGCTGAGCAAACCAGAGCGGGAGATCAAGGCGAAAGGGAGAAAGGCCCTGCCCGAGTCTACCGACTTCTGCCAAAGCGTCGGCCATCTCATTAGCTGTGTCGCCTTCATGCCCCTTAACGTGAAAGTAGTCAGGAGGACTGGCCAGCCAAAAACGCAATCCGAAGTGTAGCCCTCGACAGGCCCTCCATAACGGGTGGTCGAATGACCGACATGATCCTGAGGCCGCCCCTAGCGCAGCGGTGTTATCGCAGCGGAAGATGTGGTGCCCGCAGTACCCAATCTGGAAAGCAGCGACCCCGGCCCAGAACATGCCGATAGTTTCAGCAATGTATGCGTCTAGAGGTGCACTCGGATCCGAAGCCTGTTGCCAGACCTCATCAGCAGATCCACTAAAAGCTCCCAAGTATTGCCCAGGCAGAGTGCCACAATCAGCAGAGAGAGTGGACACTGAAACACCCCAGCCTGCCTGACCAGAAACCGGGCAGAAGGAACCGTCGGCTGTAAAACAAATGGTATGCGCGCCTGCAGGGAAGAAACCTGCCGTGCCCTCATCGCACCAGAGTGCAAAGCGATGTGCACCTGATAAGGCAGTGTAGTCAACATCCAAGAGCGCAGCTGGCACACGCTCAAGAAGGGCCTGCCACATGCTACTAGTGATCGGAAGCCTACACTGGCCAGCGGTCAGGTCAATATGGGTAACCCTTTGTCTAGTGGGGCCATTCCTTGGCACATGGGGCTGGGGAGGAGGATCGAGGACAGCACTGAGCTCAATAACGCGAGGCTCCGCGGAGCCACAAGGATCAGCGGAGACACCCTCCTCTGCAATTGGCTGTTGCACAGCATAGCTGGATGTGTCGCCGAAATGCTCGCTCAATGTTTCCAGCAGGGTGGCCGCGAGAAACAGGGCCGGTGACTGGTGTACTCGAAGACTCTCTTCCAGCAGTGTGCAGAAATCAAAGTCCTCAAGAAACGTGAGTTCAACATTATGGCCAGGCATGCAGGGGGCCGCCGAAAGATTTGAGATCCGGCCCAGCTGTCCGCGGCTCGGGGTAGGGATCGGTCTAGGCGTCCGGTCGGGATCTAAGCAACCCTTATAGTTATCCGACAAAGCGGGCCGCGAGTCCTCATGCACAGTAAGGGGCGGAGAACCAGTGTGCACACATAGAGCCCCTGGCGGCATAGTCAAGCACAGAAAAAGTCAGACCTGGCGAATAGAAGAGCTGCAATGTGGCATCCCTGAAATACAGGGGGCTCGGCGTCGTGAGCTGAAAGGTACCGTGTGCGCGGGCGCACCAGAGTGAGAAATACGCAAGAGACTCAGGAGGACAGCGGTGCAAACCAGCGCAATAGCTGTTGAGCACTTGACTACTCGACTGAAAGTCTCTGTGACCGACCGTATCCTGGGCCAGAGTGTAGAGCTGGGGGTGGTCGCGGGCGGACCAAGGCCGCTAACACACTGAAGCCGCATGTCGGAATCCCAACATGTGGCAATCCCAACCTCAGAACTGCAAGGGCCAGATGGGCAGGCCGGGGCTGGCACGATCGCACTGCTGAAACATAGCATACAAAGCGGAAGTGCGGCTGCAAACCTGATTGGCCCGGCTCGCCTATAGCCGGACTGACCTGTCCGGAGTATCCCAGTGGAGGCGAGGGGAAGGGGAGGAGTGGAAGAATCCGGCCCATTCCCACCTGTGGGGCTGCACACATGCGCGGCGCCAGCTCGAATGACAGGCTGGAAGACAATCAGGAAAACCTGCCCAGGGCGTACAGTCGTGCGCCTGGAACGGATTATCTCGTTAGTGTCGCGGTCGATCACACAAGTTTCGAAACCTTCGGGACAAAGGCCTTGGAAACGTCGAGCGAGTTGATCACTGTGAAGCTGGCCTTCCTCTGCAAGGGCGTAGGCAAGTCCCAGAAAGAGGGAACGACGGTCAATGAGGTAAGGCACAGGACGAGACAGTTCCGGGGAGTCTGTCGCCGTGTGGGTAGCAAGCAAAACCGCTCGGCAAGCCCTCCCGAAACCGAAAAAATCCCATGTAGGAGGTATAGTGGCTTGCAGCAAAACACCGTCCTCAGGGCTGCGAAGCAGCGCAGCAACCTGTGCATGAGCGTTGCTTGCCGTATGCGGAGTCAACAACGGAAATTGCCCTGACTGGGCAACAATCCAGGATCGGCCGTCAAATTGACCCGGAGGCAGAGGAGCATCCGGCCAATTTGTTGTATTGTCCAGCATATCCTGAAAATCTCCATAATGGAGCGCAGGAGGAGTCCGGCCCGTGATCTGCACGGTGAGACCGTTGTGAAGCTCGATCTCGGTACCCCTGGCGAGTGCCCGGGTAGAGTGTCCAACAAAGATGCTAGAGTCAGCTACTCATTCTAGTATACAGTATGTCTTCGCATGTTGCCACGGATTTCTTGGACTCAGTATCCCAATCTTTCAGGCGTGAATGCGCAGAACGATTCTGGAGACACGGCAATGATGCTCGCCCTCCGAGACGATCAGGCACTCGGGACCATCCAAGCCACGCCGCCTTCACAGTCACACAGACACATATCTCCTGTATGTTTATATGTATGTCCTGTATGTGTATATGTATGTATGTATCCATGTATCCATGTACCTATTTGTCTACGTATCTACTTATGTATGTATCTATGTATGGATGTGTGCATGCATGCTCACTAATCGAAGACTGCTCTGGCTGCAAGCGGTCGTGGCAGCCTACGGACTGCAGGGGCTTCAAGACAGCTTATACTCTCACCCTAGGGCTCCAGTTACCTAAACAGTAGGTTACTAACTAACCATATATTATATACCCCAGTAACCTACTATTTAGGTAACTGGAGGTAACGAGACAACTATTGCCGGATGTGTTCTTTTTTCAACATCCACCGTAGGGCGACATGAAGTCGGTAAGATAAGATCCTGTTGAAACCCTCAGAACTCAAACCTCGATATCCAAAAATCCTAGTAACCCTAACAACTCTAAATCCTAAAACGACAAACCCTGAAGCCCTGATCCTGTTGCTTTTGTGCTATCGCGAGCACCTACTGGTAGTTCCGTTTCTGCACGGCTCGAGGATGTAGCCTGGAGCAGTGGGCGACAGAACCGCCTCAAAACTGGCCAAAACGCTGAACCAGACCGCAAACCAGCATAAATCCTAGAACCCCAAAACCCTAAGACCCGGATCCCGTAGAATTCAACACTATGAATCCTACGGGCAAAATCGACGATTCGTGACTTTCGTGCACATGATTGGTGGGGGCGGTGGTGGTGCTGGCGCTGGTGAGAATGACTGCCGACCATGTCGATGATGATGATGGTGATGATGGTCCAATCATGGTGTTGTTGCTCCTATACCAGTATTCTCACTATAGGCATCGGCAATGGCATGTGTATGTGGACACACTCTGCAAGTACTACATACCAAGAATCCTGCACATGCCTATGCCCAGCTGGAATTCGCACAATGGATCCTCGACGATCCACACACGGACGTGCCTGGGACTGTTTATTGCTGGGCCTGGATGAGGGTTTAGCTATCGAGTCGGTACATTTGCCACCTGTTGGTGTAATATTATCCCCATATGCAACTGAAAGCTTACATTTTGGGTGATTATGAACTCAGCAACTAAGATAGGGTTTGAATTAGGGCTTAGCGGAATCATGATAAGCAGAGAGATGAACAAGGCTCATTGTTTCCGGACCCTATACGATATGGTATCTGGACCTTTAACCCTTTTAGGGTTTTGTTTATCCTAAAGGTGTGCTTGGGGAAGACGAGGGGGCGAGGCTTGGAGCGACCAGAGCTCCGAAAGTCGAGGGAGTGGGGCGGAAGAATCTTCGGCTGGATGTTTAGGTTTTAGGGCATAGGTGTGCCCTGGAGACATCAGATTCGTGATTTTGGGGTGAGTGCGCCCGGTAAAGGAAAGCAGGCTTCACTCCATGATTCCTACCCCTGCCTTGGCCCGCATTGGCAAGCTTGATGAAATCAGTGCGATATAAGTTTTGTGACGAGGCAGCCAAGAGTACAATCAACCAGCAACACCGACTGGATGAAGTCCGACCCACGCCCACACTCCCCGTGCAGGTGCTTTTGCGCAATCTCGCGGGAGAGGATGTGCCCTGGTCGTGTGTGTCAGTCAATGTTGGGGGTGCGAGGCATGCCGGTGATCTTGTATAAGCATATGCATGCATGAAAGCACGGATGTATGCATGTGGGTTCGCTGAGTGCTGTGCATACATGCATGCGCGCTCGCGAGTGTGTGTTTGTGCGTGTCACTCACAGAATGTATTTACAAGGATGGATCGGTTGGTCAATAATCAATAGGTGTAACTGAACGAGCCGGCTCATCGGTGTACGGATCTATGCATGAATGTGCGGATGCAGGTAGGGGAAGGGGCGGGGTGGCGTACATGTCTGGAATATGAAAGAAAGAGCTAGAGCAATCCTTAGAGTAGTCACAAGGACAAGTACTTAATGGCATGTGTTTACATGGTTTTACACTTTGTGCATACTACACATAGTCGTGTATGTGTACTGCGATGTAATGCCATGTGAATTGTTTTATATTGTAATGTAATGTAATGTAATGCAACGTAATGCAATCTAATGTAATGCAATGCAATGCAACGTACTGGAGCCTGTTAATGCACTAGACCGGAATGTTTTGTTGTAGTGTTGTGTAGGGCAATGTAACGTAATGGTGTGCGGGCCATGGCAATGTAAGGGGATCTGATGTAATGAAGTCTAGAGCAATGTGACGAAATCCAGTGCAATGTAATGCAATGTAGTGTAGTGTAACAATTACAATGCAGGGCAGTGCAATGCAATGTTGTGTTATGTTCAAGTTGCTGCGCGCGATGTTGAATAGTGTCATGATTTGGCATGCTTTGGTGTGTCACGCTTGATTATGCAACGCTATGTTATGTAATGTCAACTTATGTTATGGCGTGTGATTTCTTTATGTTATGTTATGTTATGCTATGTCATGCTGCAATTGGTTATGTTACGTCATGCTTTGCTATACTATGCTGTGTTGCGTGTTTTTTGACGGCTACTTGCTTGTTGCAACATGCGGCATGCGACTTTGGCACGCGTCTTTCTTCTCTATGTAGTCTCCCTGGACCTTGCTTAAATTTCAGCCCGGCTCCAAGCCCTAAACCCTAAACCCTAAACCCCTAAACCCTAAACCCTAAACCCTAAACCCTAAACCCCTAAACCCCTGAACCCTAAACCCTAAACCCTAAACCCCTAAACCCCTAAACCCTAAACCCTAAACCCCTAAACCCCTAAACCCTAAACCGCTATAAAGGGCATTTTTGGGACCCCGTGGGCTGTCCTGGCAACCCTAAACCTAGAAACCCTCAACCCCAAACCCTAAGCTCGGACAAGGCCAGTTTAGACAGCAAAGGCACACAAACACACACACACACACACACACATATATATATATATGCAAAATAACTATGATTATTGTTATTATTACTATTACCATTACTATTACTATTACCATTACCATATACAAACGACAAAAGAACATAAGACACTACCGAGCCTCAGGCCATCGACATTTGCGAGAGCCTCGGCCTGCAGGGCATGAGGATGAAGCTGGTCGGAGTCCCAGCAGACAAGGTTTCGAGTTTTGAGGTTGAGGGTTTATAGGGGGGTTAGGCGGTTTAGGGTTTCGATTTAGAGTTTAGGGTTTGGGGTTTAGTTCATATAAGGTAACCCTACAAAGGAACTACTATGGGGCCTATGGGCATAGGGGGTTCAGGCGTTTTAGAGTTTCGATGTAGGGCACCTTTTATGGAGATTAGGTGTTAGGATTTCGGGTAATGAAATTCAGATTTACTGATTCAGTCTTGTATGGTTGTAGGGTTGACGGTTTTGGGCGGAGGGTTTTTGAAGAGTCTCGGTTCGGGAGCTACTTGGAGGTTCATGGGTAGTTATTAAGTAAAGTTATAGGTAGGGTAACTATACTGATACTTCATATTCGGGGACTTATAACCCTTCATATAACTACCCATGAACCTCCAAGTATCGTTGCAAGATAGGTTCCCCATTGGCTTTCGATGGAGCTTTTTGCGTCTGGTTTCTTTTTTCCGGGAGTTCAATACATGTTGGGCATTGCTGGTTTGGGTCTTGTGTGGGCCTGTTGGGAGGTCGGGGTATGTGGCTAGAGAAAGCCATTGTCACCGCTTGTCATCATGAAAGTAGCTCCCGTGCAAGTCGTGGAAGGTGTAAACACGCCTGCCGGCTGCCGGCATACCCCCTTAACTTGATTAACACCGCATGAGCGTCAAGGCGCGCAGGCGCGCAGCCCCGGGGACTCGAAAACTAAACCTACACCCTCAACCCCAACTCCTAAACCGCGAACCCCGAACACCACTGCGTGAACCTGGAACCCTAAACCCTAGACCTGAACCCCGAAATCCTGAACCCTAAACCTGGAACTCCCTAATCCTGATAGACCCGAATAAAATGCTAAACCTGGAACTCCCTGATCCTTTTAGACCCTAATAAAATCCGTAGTGCGCTCTTTCATTGATGCGCCCCAGTCACCCTCAGAAGGCGACTAGGGGTTCACGAGCACGAGGGTTTAGGGTTTTTCTTGAACTGCCAAGACCTACTCTGTTGGTAAGGTCCCCCATAAATGCAGTTATTCAGATTTATAATCGGAACCTACCAACAAGTAGGTTCTGATAGTATAATACTACAGGGTATACTATTTCGGGTAGGGTTTAGGGTTCAGGAGACTTGACTGCAAGACGCTTCATGACACAGAGTCTTCCAGTGCTTCGTGATGCTTCTTGCCTATAGGTTGCATTGTAACGCGTTCTCTTTTTGTGCACCTTGGAGGATCCTATATAAATGATCATGATCATAAAACTGGCTAAACCCCAACAAGGAAAGGCAACGGAGACTCCAGGTATTTTCGGAGCCTACCTCGGAGCCAGTGTATCATTTGCCAAGCAGGCTAGCTTTGACGACTTATTTCTGTTCCATATGATTATGGGAGTTTCCGAAACTTAAGGGTAGCCTCTTTGGGGGTCCTCATAATAAGGATCCTGCTATTCAGTATTGTATTAAGGTCCCCTATTTTGATGGGGTTCCATGATCAAACCCTACCTTAACCCTGAATAACCTACCTTTTAAGGTTGCTTCTTATGGTTTCCTTATATAAGTCCTTAAAAGGTTAGGTTATTCCGGCTTAAGGTAACCCTTAAGTCCTAAACCCTAAACGGTTGATGGGGTTCCATGATCCTTTGCGGCTGAGGAGTCCAAAGCCCGACACCAAGCCGAACTTCAAGCAGAAGCTTGGATGATCTGTCTTTGATGTAAATATGGGGCCCTTAATGATTAGAATAGGGTTTGGGGGTAGATTATACAATAAATATAGATTAAAATAGGGAACCCAGAAAACCTTATTCTAACTGTTGAGGCCCTCACATTAGCTTTGGTTTTGCGTCTTGTGGTTCCAGGTTGTCACCGTCTGGAGGACCGATTCGGTTTCGGAGTTGCGGTCAATTGCAGATCTGTTCCACTATTCAAGGGCTAGGACCCGGAGTAGGCCCTTATTCCCTTTTTGAGGGTTTAGGTTCCCTTATAACCCCCTTTCTCCCAAAAAGGGCACCCTTTCTATTCCTAGGTTACTCTTGGGTCTAGAGGCGGCATCTCCCGAGCTGGAGATGCTGCCTTTCGGCCCCATGGTTCGAGACGGAGTAATGAGTGAAAGAAACCCCTAAAGGGACCTCCAGAAAGTTGGAATATGGTTTCTGGGTAGGATACCTTATAATTTGCCATAAAGGGCTTAGGATAATCATATTCCAACTTTCTGGCTTCTACTTTAACCCTACATTGGCGTCTGATGCCTTTTGGTTTTTCTCCAGATACACAAAAGTATGTTTCGTTATGCACACCTTCGATCTGAAAACCTATCTGTCTCATCCGTCTGGGTCTTAATAGTATGTTTGAGCCTATCAGTTATTTTGGCACACATGGTCACGACACTTGATGAGCACAATCGAGTTCTGTTGTATTATTGGAGCTGGTTTTCGTGACAATGCAAAGGTGTCGTCTAGCAGCAAGCAGGCCGCATGTCCTGTGTGTGCACCGAAAAGCTCTTACGTATATCAGCCAGCGAGAATCGCCGTCCACACTCTCCTTAGCCGGAATCTATACAGGGTCCCCTCTCTCAGGTTGAATGATCTGTTGTTGGGCATATTCCGTGCTGATTGAGGGACAGGTGAAGCTTTCCCGGCCTTCACCAAGGAGAAGGAGAAGAGCGCGGCAAAGATGAGGGATGAAGTGATGGGCAAGTAACGTAGGACGTGGGAGCCTGAGTTGTCACTATGGGCCCTACTCCTTCATAAGTAGGGGATTGAACTCATATAGTTGAAACATGTTGAAAATATAGTTGATTCTAAGAAGGGCCTACGTCCTAAGTAGGGTTGAATTCCTTGTAATAGAGGCTCTCCCAATCTCTAGACTCTTGGACCCGAAACCCACCCGAGCGACCGCACGTTCACAAGCAACACAGCGGACCGTGAAAGCTGAGCCCGGGTCGCTGCGCTGAAAAGGATTTGCTTTCCAAGCATAAGTAAGAACGAAAGAAGCCCACAAGGGTTTAAGGTTCATGTACCCAATAGAGGTTCATAGTATGATGGTATGGAGCCCCCTAGTTATCAGTGTCAGTTGGTCCCCGAAGGAAGTCCTCGCCCTCGGGAACTTTATGCTAAATGCGCCGTGCGAGAAAATCAAAGCATTGAAAGCTGCACGCACTGAACTACTCGATCTCGCTTTCACATTACGAGCCGTAAGTATGGGCGCTTACAGCCCTTGAGACATAGAGCTGTCGCCCCCGTCTTGTTGCAAGGATGTTAGTAGTTCTGTAGTAACGAGCAAAGAATTCTTTGGTGTGATAAGCATCAACATGGTTGCTGTTATCATCATTACTGCCAGTATTGCTAGCATGTCGGGGTTGGAGTTTGGGGGTTTATGGTTTGGGTTTGAACAGTTAGCGTACTATTACCAGTCGTAATCACGTAGATATACAAGGCCTTTGGCGGTAACAGGTAGACTGTTACTGTGTGGGTGCAGTTCCCAAACTATTTCTATCCACTCCCCGTAAACTCTAAATTGTATACCGTCGGTGTGTGCCGCTATCGGTAGGCAGGTACTGCAGCGCATGCCATCACACCTCCAATTACAAAACCTAAACCCTACAATCCCCCAAACCCTTTTAACCCTACTCCCTAAGCCCTAAACCTGAAACTTACACCCTGAACCTCAAACCCTATACGCCCTATTGAAAACCCTACACCCGTGAAAATCCTAAATCCTTAAGGGATCTCTCATAGAAGCCCTTATGGTATCCTTTCAAGGAAACCCGTATTTGGATCCCTTTTAAAAACCCTAAACCCTACTAAACCCTAATCTTTTTCTGTAGCTTCTTGTTATAAACCCTAACACGGGATTGATAGGGATCCTACAAAGAATGTAGGTTCTGGTAGGTTAAGGTATACTCAATCCGACCTTTCCGTGCGAAGAGGAGGCTCCGCGACACCGCGAAGGAGCTCGTGGAGCGACTGCAGCAAGCAGAGGTACAGGGGAGTTCCTTTAAAGGGTTCCTCTCAGGGATCTATAAGGGTTCCTTTGCCGGTTCCTTTGTGGGTATATAGGGCAAGTATAGGGTCCAGGAATTAGTCTACGTTTTATGGGGTTTGGGGTTTAGGGTAAAATGTATGGTTAGGATCCTATGATCAGCAGAGGAGCGGCTTGTATCGGCTTTTGTTCAGAAAGACTTCAGGGTTTAGGGTTTTTGGGGCTTATAGGGTTTATAGGGTCTGAAGGGCCCTGAAGGGCTTATAGGGCGTTTAGGGATTACGGGGTTTAAGGTTTAGGATGTAGAATTTCTGTTCAATCGAGTGTCAGGCTTCAGATGTGACACTTGTGTTGTTCAAGAGGGTTTGGGCTTCCTGTAAGGGATATTTTCGGGCTTCTTCGATAGCCGGTGACGCTGGTGGCGGTGATGCTGATAAACCATGACTGTGTTGGTAATGATGCTCGTGCTGGTAAGGCTGCTGGTGAACACGACTTATGGCGATGTGGATCAATTACATGATGATGCCGACCACAGTGGTCAACATGGGGATGAAGGTGATCGCCAAAATCACGACGATTGAAACGAATTGTGTTCATGACATTGTTGATGATCTGATGACCATGGCAGTGATGATGCGGCGGTGATGACGCTAGCAATGATGGTGGGGATGACAGTGATACTAGTTGCGATGCTGATCATGGTGATGACCATGTTCACGAGGATGATGATGATGATGATGGTGATGATGATGATGATGATGATGATGCGTATCATTATGTTTATGTGTTTTGCATTGTTGTTGTTGTCTGATCATTATTGGTAGTATCATCGTTGTTGTTGTTGTTATCAGCATTCACTGCCAAGCGAGACTCTGGAGGCCGAAGGTCCGAACTCTCGCTGCAGGCATTCAACCTCAAGACTGGAGACACCACGAGCCTGGCTGCAGGGGGCTCGGTGGTAGAGTTAAGGGTTTAGGAGTTTAGGGTTTAGGGGTTTAGGGCCTGGGGCCCCGGGTTTAGGGCTTTTCGGGGGTTTAGGGTTCAGGAGGTGGCTGGGAATATCGGGGCCTGAATACTTACTGATAATTACCATCCTTACTTGACTATGAGCTAGGGGGCCATGTACGTGCTTTGGCCTTAAAGTAGCCCAATAGGTGTATGTTGGCGCCGAAGTACATACTGTTTAGGTACGTGGACCTTGAAAAAGGTATCTATATATATATATGTATATTTCAATATTATAGAGATGTTTTCACAAAATATACTTAACATATTCGAAAACCGGTTCTAATCATTGTGGCCCCTAAGGTTATTCTCAGTCCTGGGTTCTGGATGGGCCGTGACCGCGCAGGTTTGAAGGTTCCAGGCTTTGGGAGTTGTGGCTTTGCTGTCGGGCTTGCTTACTTTGGTTAGTAGGGAATGGAAGGGGCCTTATAAAGGGGTCTATAAGGGTTACTATAAGGGATCTATAAGGGTACTATAATATAGGGGCCTTAACAATCCTATTCCTTACCTTTGGTTAGTAGGGAATGGAAGAATGGCAATAGTAGTTTTAATTGTACCCCATTCCTCCATTCCCTACTAACCAAAGGTAAGCTTGTGGCTGTAATCCGGTGTCAAGTCCAAAGCAGGCTCACAGGTTCTCATTCTTCTTGGAGGGGTCTGTTCGCTGCGTCGAGTGCGTGGAGTTGCTTTTATGCAGGACCTCGCAAGCATTGATGTCGTACTTGTTACTCATACCGGAGTTTGGTGCTTTTGGTAGGATCGCTATTGCACGGACGCACAAGTCAGATACCCTGACCCTCAGTTGTAGAGAGGAATTTCCAATGGATCGGTTGCACAGCGACGCACCGGCCCCAACCTGAAATTCACATATAGGGACCTAGATAACTACCATTCCTATGTTGGGAGTTCCTTATTTTGAGTAGAGTATAATGGGCCCCAAAACCCTATTTCAATTATTACGGCCCCCACATTGGTACTCCGATGAGGCTGATTTCGTGCCCGCATGGTTTCATTGCAGGTAGTCCTTCGGAACAGCAAGAGCCGGGTCGCTAACCTGCTGGACGACCTCTTGCAGTTGCCTCCGTACGCCCCCTCCCTCCATGGCCAGTGTTGGGTTGCTTCTATAGTATGTCTATGTATATTATATACATATATATATATATATACATATGCAGACATATATATATATATATACTTATATATACATATATATGTATACATAGAGGGGCTTTTTTATAATCACGGCTTTGATAAGGATCCGGCTCTGTGATAGATTGTTCGAAGGGCGGTAATGGGGAAGCATGAGGAGGCCTCCGGCCGTCTCAGAGCAGCTCCGGAATTTTTTTTTAGGTTTAGGCTTTCGGGAAGGAGTTGTGCCCTCTGAAGCAATTCGGAGTCGGTTATGAGGAGAATGCTCCAAACCTCTGCTAGTCATTATGATCTTCTTGGCTGTCAGTACCTTGCTACTGGTCCCTTCTTTATCATGATGACAGACTTTGTGTGGCTGCGACGCTTTAGATGGATTGAAGCAGGAAGAGGCAGGCTTTACCTTTTGCTGCTCCGCAATGCAGTGGATGTCTCTGTTCTCATGTCCGCACGTTGCATATGCAGCCTGAGAAGGGAGGAGTGAAAGACACAGCATAGATCTAAATCAGCACTCCCTCACTTGTTTCGCGAAGCTTTGCGGGCCGAATGCGTGTACCCATTCAGCTGAGAGACACTCACATCACTGAGACTCTCAGCTCCGAAAATCCCATGACCTATGCTGCTTTCCAATGTCAAGGAGTCATGCTGAATGTCTCTCTGTGTGTGGGTGTGTGTTTTTGCGCAAGTTGTCTTGTGTCTACATCCAGCGCCTGTGTTGAAGCTTCGGGCTTGGATGCAGGTTCAGGGCTCCGACCGTTTTTTCCAGGGGTCGTGTGCAAGTAGTTGCATGATTTGAGCGCAGCTGGTCATAGTTTCTTCGCGAGATTCGGCGAAGCATCAGTGCGATCGCAGGTCCAAAGTGAGACCTTCGTATCACCGCTCCCCACAGACAGACTCGTCGGTGATGTGGGCTCAATCAGGGTTCACAACAGCCTCTGCCCCATGTCCTGGATGTGCCTGAAACCACTAAGTACCAGTCATTTCTGTAGCAACTCTCTGACCTTTTTAAGTCTATGTTAGATGGCAGGACGAAAGATAAGGCCAGGTTTAGCTTTATGTCAATGTCAATGAACGTGACGGTGACGATCGGAACCAAGTCGGCAGACAAATGTACAGCAGCCACTTCTCGTGTCTTGGGGATGTCAAGAGGTGTCGGGGGTTGGAGCTATACAATACATGTAAGTGACACAGTGACGTAGTACATATCGACGACGGCAGCAGAAACTAGCGGGTCAAGTGTCTCTGCACGTTCCGTGGCATGCACTTGCTGCCTCTCATCAGGCCGGCCAGAGTGCTTTGTCCACAGCATGAGCAGAGCTTACCTTATTCTGCAATAGCCAAGTTGTCCAAGGATCCACATAAGGAGTTTTATATCAAGGAACCCAAGGTAGGTTGTATGGGGCTTCATGCACAACGTGTTAACACGGTTTCGTCTTATGCTTAATTTAGATCCTCCTTCGTTTGGGTTCCTCATGAAAAATTGGGCCTCTGCGCAAGCAATCTACTTGGCTGCCCTCCACGTAGAATCTCTGTTCTTAGATTCTTGAGCTACTGAAATCTGCAACTCT